CACCTCTTCCGAGATGTGGTCAAAGAAGATGGATGGTATGTGGCAAACTCATACTCCGAGGATTTAGATAAAGAGTAACATGAGGAGGATGATCTCAATGAGGAGGACTATGACCCCAAGTGCCCTCCAATGCTATTGATGGTGGCGCCAAGAATGACATTAGACCCTTGTGTTTAAGGGATTAGGTAAGAAGATATGGTACTTGTGGCTTGCTCGTAGACTAATTTACCCATGGGAAAGGAATGATGATCATCAGATATAATATATGTAGAACGGTTGTTCCCTTTTCTGATTACAAAGCCAAAGGGACTACAACTTGGCTACTATGAGAAGGGGGGCTTTAGCTGTTGGGCGGTACCTATCTTACAATCCGCTGGTGATTTGAAGATTTTAACCTATCGAAAGCGGAGGTTACATCTAACATGGTGTGAGTTCAACTCCCAGAACTCCCAATTGAATTAGATGACCTTGACACGGTTATGAAAAATCGCGAAATTGATTGAGACTCTGATATGAGTTCCTCGAGCATTGAGTAAGGGGCACTTGGGAAGTTTTTTAGAGTATGTGTCAAATTTTATATGAATAATCCCCTCCTATCTCAGTATAAGGTAGATGGGATCGCATACTTGATTTAGTATGAAGGCAATGACAATACTTTGCGGTGAATGTGGAACACATGGGAAATCGATCCATCTTTGTGGTTGCCGGGATCTGATATTAGAGAACGGTACAAAGGAAGTTCTTGAGGTCGCTGAAACCTTGGACGCTGACCCTACACATGGTTTATTGTGAGTGGATGATGGTGAAGAAGAAACGGAGTCAACCAGCTAGGTAGGGTAGGTTCGGATGGAGAGTTTGTGGAACATTCAAACACGGCGAGATGAAGGCAACGAGTGGTACGCAAAATTTCTCTCACTTGTTTCATGAATGACCCAAGAGACTATACATGCAAGTGTTAAAATGTTTGAGACGAGTGGGGAATAATCTGGATCCAAAGCCAAGGAAACAAGCGTGCAGTTAAAGCTCTAAAGCCATTATTATGACAAGTTTTCCCACAAGTGATTTTCTTAATGGAAACCAAGCATACAAACGATGAAGATAAAGAGACACAACTAGATGGGGTTTGATAAAGGTTATACTTCCCGATCGTGGATTCTCAAGGGGGCACGTGTGGGTTAAGTATATGGTGGAAAGTAGATGTCAACTTTATGGTTATATCATCATCCCTTCACCACATTGTTGTTTGTCTGACCGAAGATGATGATACTTGTTGTAGATCCTCTATAATCTATGGTTGGTATGAGAGTCGAGATAAAGGTTACATATATGACTTGTTTGATTCCTAGCCGATTAGCGGAATTGATTGTTGTTATTGGGAAGGTATGTTAACCGGGTACTTTGTACTTTTGTTACGCGGGGTGGTCGAGTTGCCCATGAAGAGGGAATGATGGACCTTGGTTTTTGTATATGGGGAAATGGTTGGGCTGGTGGTGGCTATATTGAGGAGTGTTTGAACAGGTATATAACTTCGACAACCTGGATGGAGCGAGTTCTGAACATGGATAATGATGAGTATGATCATAGATCAATGGTGTGTGATACACAAGGCGAGGATAACGTTGAACTAAGATGGATTTGTTCGTTAAAAAGTGAACCCCATTGAGTTAAACACGAAGAATTTACCAAAGTGATGGTAAGCTTTGCAATGGCTCACACACTAGCCAAGCTTAATTCCTATCGATGAAAGCTCGATGAATTGAGTCACATTGCATCTAGAGAAGGTTATCAACTAGCGAAAGCAATTGGAGAAGGTGTTGGAGGAATGATAACTCGTCTTTTATACATGCTTTCACTTCCTTTTGAGTTTATTTTATGTTGAAATTTAGCAAACTTTCTATATTTTGTCAGTTTTATACTCGGTTTGGTGTTTTAGTGTGTTTTAAATCATTGAGATTGATTAAGATGATTGTTGGAGGAGAAATGCACAGAAAGCGGAAATTTGGAGTACATGTGTTTTGGAATGCTTTTAGGGATTGTTTGGAATCTTTGATTCCGGAAATGATGTATTACAAAAATGTGCGTATTAAGATTATGTGTGTACTAAGAATGTGTGGGTTTTAAGAATGCTTTATATGAAACACATAGAAGAATGCATGGATGAAATGAACTATGGATACTAAATCTCACCAAAAATATTAGATTAAGTATTATGAATACATCATGCATTCTCTATACATGCATTCTGTAGTTAAAACAAGTAAAAAAATTTTGTTTTATGCAAAATACTTGTATACTCAGAATACAACGTTTAGAATAAGAGATTCCAAACGAGGCCTTAAATAACTTTGGAATCAAAATAATGAGACCAACAAGAACAAAGGCACGGTCGTGCCTAGACTCTGATATAACCATGAAGAATTGCTAAAGGCTCGAAGATTTGAGAAGAAAAAGAACTTTTTAGACAAAAATTGCTTGAGATACAATCATGTCTATAGCCAAAATGCCACAAAGAAGAAGGATACAGGAATGAGAATATGGGGTCTAAATTGATTGAAATTGTGTTGACACATGAAAATATTGAGTAAACACTGAATTTTGACGATAAGGAAAGATCATCATATCTATCTTGCATTTGATTAATGCTTGAAAACTAGCTTCGGTCCTCTCAATTTATGAACTTGTTTCTTTTTTAGGGTAATTTGGATGAGGAAACAAAAGTTTACTTGTGTTCAATGAGGAAACAATAGTTCACCCTATAACAATGGTTGAGGCTCATTGTTATGGGCTTGACTGTAACTTTAGAGCCTCGCCTGTAAATCTTTCATTTTCTGGGAAAGCGACAAGTTACGGCCCGAGTTACAGTCGTAACTCGGTAGATGACCTGTAATTTCTGACTCGGCCGAGTCAGCGAGTTACAACCCTGAGTTATGGCTGTAACTTACCCGATTAGGCTGTACCTTTTGGGTTTCCTATAAAAGAAAGCTATGCATCGTAACTCCCGTGAAAGAAACCGACCTCCTCTTCGTCGAAATCCTTGTCCCCTCCTCCATGTCTTTCGCATTTTTGTGATTTTACAGGGTTCCTGATCTCTGATTCCGAAGCCGTTCATGGCGACGGGCTCCCCTCCGCGAGGTGCACCCTGCCCTGCCACCCTTTTCCCCGTCCACCATCTAATTTCCACGCCGGAAATTGCCTCCGGCGACGATTTCTAGTTCTGGCCTGTGTCGTCTTTCTCCTGTCGTCTCTCTCACCTTGCTCTCCTACTTGTATCTCCAGGTTGGTTGATTTTTCTCTAATCCTGTGGTTTTGAAGAACTGGACTTGTAATAATTTGTTATCTGTCTTGTGATAATTTGTTATCTGTCTTGGTAGTGTCGCAACCGTCCCTTAGGTCGGGTTCGGGGTCGCGTTCGCTTTTTTTGGGAGTCGCCATCGATCTTACTTGGAGTGGATCGAACACTCTTCGGTCGGCTCTAACCTTAGGGTCAGAACCGAAATATGGTCTGCGAAAATAAAGTTCTGGGTTTGGGAGTACGGTTACGCGTGGGAAGTGAAATCACACCTCACAACGCTCAAAATCGGTACTACTTAAGTTTGATAAGTTTAAATGTGTTGGGTGTGTTCTTAGTAATAGTTTTGTATTTTTAGGGTCCCACTAGACCACTGAAGAATTTAAATCGTATTGGTTTATGATTTAAATATACGCCCACTTACGTAAAAATTGAAGATAAAATTGATTAGTTAGTTGGACTCGAACCTTATTGGTTGCCTACATACTCGTTTGACGGGATCAAAGTCCACGTAGTTCGTTATATGACTTTGATAATTTTGAATGTAATTTTTACCACGTCCCACCGATCGTGGTTCTTGTATTAAAGATTTTGTTAATAAAATTTAAATTGGTTATTTTTAAGTTATGAAAAGATAACACGAGAATTTTAGCTATTAAGAAGTATTTTGACGTATTAGAAAATAAACAAAAGAAACTTAATCCGCATTTAGCATTTCGTATTAAGGATTTTAAACGAATAAAACTAAACGGGATGATTATATTGATGCATGATGGGCCAGCAGCCCAACTGGTTAAAACATTGGACGCATGTACCCTAGGACACGAGTTCGAAACTTAGTGATCACTGATTTTGGTGGGTTTCCTTTTAATATAGAGACAAAGCGAAGGCATGGTGGTAATTGAAAGAAATAAATCCCACCGCAGGACCTGGTACTGCACATGCAGACTGCTTTTACTGCTCATGCTGACCGGGATGTACTGTTATAACCCGGAAGCTGGCGCTGTGTGGGCTGGCGTTGGGTGGGGGCTCTTTGGGATTGGACGGGTGTTTGGCGGGTCGGTTGGGATGGAACTTGATCGTTGGGCTATTTTGGTCTGCTGGATCGGTTGTGGTCCACGGACGCGTTGGTCACCAGGGCCCTCTCGGTGGCTGGAGCCTGCCCAGTACAGAGAGATACTGACAGGGATGGGCTTTTGGTGTCTCAGGGAGAGGTTGGGAAGTCCTCGCGTTGTTCGATGCAGAGAGAAGCTTAGAGAGGCTGGAGGGTTTTGGGGAAAGTACTGAAGTGACTGATAGTGGCGAGAGAGATGAGAAGGCTGCCTGGGTATACTTTGACGTGACAGTAGGGAGAGAGAAGTGGAGTCTTGGAGAGGGAGATGAAAGGGTTTACGATGGAGACTGGTGTGACTGGGCTGGGCCTGATATTTTCACACTTTTTTGCTTGGTGGATACAAACCCACGTCTCCCTTTTATTTTTTGTCCATTCGTTTCACCTAACTCCCTTTTACCCTTCTTTCTTCTTTCCTTTGTCTCTAAATTCGACCAAAGCATTTCATTAAAAAAAAATTCGACTCAAAGCACAAAGCAGAGTAACTCGCTAGCCCATATATATCTTCCTCTCTCCTCTCTCCTCTGATCTCCGCAGTTGCGAGCATCATCTCTCAACCCCTGTTTCTCTCTCTCTCTCTCACTCTTCTTCTCTCTCTACTTTCTCTAATCTCTCTTCTCAGAAGATGAGCGCGGTGGGAATCGATTAATAGACGGGTTTAGAGGGATGAGAAAGGAACTGGAAAGATCAAGATTCAGATCAGTCGGTTCTATTTTGGATTTCAGGTGATCGTTCCTCCTTTTCTGGTGAATTTATTTTCCTTATGTTCTTCATTGGGTTCATTCTCTCTTTCTCTCTCAAAAGGTTGTTTGATTTCTTCAGATGTTCATTCAACGATTACATTCTCTTAGAGAGTGGACCGAAGAAGGGGTAGATCCGTATGGTTCCATTTTTGAGGTGGAACAACGACAGGAATGGTTGCCACAAGAATCAGGTAGATAGAGATGGGAAATCACAAAGCCACGCGGCTTGAAAATTTTTTTGTTCTTTTGTTTTCTACTCTCTATAGACATTAATTCCACTTTCTTTCCCCTTCCACCTGCAGATCTACTGCCTTGCCAAACTGATTGAGGGTCGGCAGATTCATCGTAGTCTCTGCCAGAGACATTGACCAAGGTTATTATCTCTCCCTTATGATTCCATTAATCTTTTTGTTCCCCTCTCTGTGTACCCTGTTATCTTTACAGTTTTCTCTGTTCTGATCTATGGCTTTTGTTTGAAGTTTTCTCTGTCCACCGCCGGAAATGCAGAATAGTTGCAAGTTCTATTTATCAACCCGGGGTCTATATCTACTACCTACTCCGTGATTATCTATTACCTAGCAAACTAAGTCGAGTGATTGTGATTATCTATTACCTACTCCGGGGTCTATATCCTACCCGACGACGGATGCGGCAGTGGACAGAGGCGGCGACGAGGCAAAAATAAGAGCGGGTATCTAATCAGGTAAAGGTTGGTGTTTTATTTTGTGGTGATTTTAGTTGCTTTAGAGTTTTGATTACTCTCTAATTTTGGTATCTGGCTTTTGTTTTGGCTATTGACGAGGGAGAGGTGGAAGATTGCCTCTGGCCTCGTCGGTGGCGACGGAGACAGTGGGGAATCCTTATTCCTGGTAAGGATTATTAGGGGTTTTCTTTGGGGTTTACTCTAATTTATACTTTCTTAGTAAGAACTCTAATTCGGATTGTTTTGCAGGTTTTTAAATCGAGGTTTGTTTAGGTAATGTTGCCTTAAACTCAGTCTTAGCAAGGTGAGGGAATAACTTGAAGAATAGATTACGATGTGATTTAAAATGAACCTACATATCCGAGTTATTCCGGCGGAATGATTGTGTTTGCATTAATCTGGATTTTGAGATTTATTTGGTTGGTTTTTCTTGAACCGATATCATAATTTGCTGGTTGAAGTGGTGTTTTATGGTAACATTTGGTGAGTCGTTTGTTCTATTAAATTTTGAAATTCTAAATGATTTTAAGATAACTGAAACCCACAGCCACCGCTGGTGATTTCAGAATGAAAGAAAAAGTTTTGTTCTTTGTTTAGGATGAAATTTATGGAAATTATAAAGCAACCAGAAAATCATAGCCACTGCTTATGTCTTCGGTTTTGAAAAAGGGAACTCCATTCCAATTTGGGATCAGAGAAACAAAACAAGTTTCTTTGTAGGCTTATTAAACATGACTATTACCTACTTCGGTTGAACTTATATTTGTGATTAGACTTACTAGGTGACACGCTAAAATACAGCACCAAACTGCGATCAAGTACAATCGCAGTCCGGAAATGCAGAATAGTTGCAAGTTCTATTTATCAACCCGGGGTCTATATCTACTACCTACTCCGTGATTATCTATTACCTAGCAAACTAAGCCGAGTGATTGTGATTTTAAGCAAAAGCAGTAAAAAAGCAGGAAATGGTTCGAAGTCTTTTAGCAAGGGAAGAGTCACTCTGGAATGAGTCCCCCTAGCTCCTTAGTTGGGTCAAAGTTGTAATTACCTTTGGTTGATTTACCGTTGATTAAACTGCGGAATATCCGACAGTAGCTTGGAATATCTTAAACTGACCAAGCCCTCTCAGACAAACTAACCGGCAGGCGACTAGCCTTCACCGGGGTAGACTGCTGAGGCAATAAACACAGAACTCCACCACTATAATTCGATTCCAGTACAAAGCAGTAAATCGATTAATTCTTGTATAACCAATCTACTACTACCGATTGATGAAGCTCTAACAACCTAATCAGATTCTATCTATCTCAGGTTGCGGCAGAAATCAAGAAAAGATGATCAGGCTTCAATTGACTCAATGAACCATGCATCAATCAATTAAAATCAATCAGTATATCAATCCAAAATCATTACAATCAAGATTCCTAACACATGGAACTAGAGTTCTTCATACCCAAGTGAGAGAAGGTTGTACTCCATAGAGAGAGGAAAACAGAAATCAGAGCAGTCATACTCATAAAGATGGGGATAATCTGCTCTAGGATGTCGATCTTCACTCCTGGAGATGCAATATGGGCTTCAATGGTGAGAAATCCACTCCAAATAGATCCTAGTGTTTGTTCTTCGCACTTTCTCTCTCTATAACTCTATTTTTTGCTCCAAAACTCCATCCCCTTTCCTTTGGCTTGAATCTGCCTCAAAAACCCGATTCTAGGCAAAGCACGGTCGAGGACACGACCGTGTTTTACTTTTGCCCGCGCATGTTTTGCCCCCAGCAGCCCTCACGACACGCGCTCGGCCGTAAAAACACACGGCTGTGTTTTTAGGTTAGTCTGCCCGTGTTTTACTGCCGAACCTGTTCCCCTATATTCAATGGTTCATTTCTCCCTCGTCCGAACTTCGAATCAATCGCCATTTTATCTCAGACGCTCGTAGTCTCGTCCTCTTTCTTTTCATGACAAGCTTGCATGATTCTTTGTCCATAAATGAGGTAGAAATCCATTCTTCTTTAGGTTATGCCCGAGTTTCTTCTCCCGAATCGCCAATTGATATCCGATTGACTTGAAATTATCGCCTAGCCTTTCCTTTGATGCTTGGGACCTGAAATGTGACAAAATAGCACAACCCAGCATAAAATAGGCCAAAGATGCACGACTAGGAGTCGCAAATTGATATGAAATAGGGGTGCAAACACGTGCAAATACATCGTTATCAAATTCCCCCATACTTAACCTTTTGCTTGTCCCCAAGCAAACCAAGTCAGACACAAGGTGCACAAAATATTTGGGACATGTCATATCGGCACAAAACACGTGAATCACACTAGCCTTTAGTCATCAACACATGAACAACCTCGACAGCAACCTAGACAACCACCACAGATGACATTTGAGTGCAGCAAAATCGACCAAAGGAAGAATCTCCCTTTTGCTCACCAACCAAAATAGACTCGACTCAACCACTTATCCAAGACAGTCACTTCATGCATAAAAATCAAGACATCAGAATCAAGACCGAGCCATCTAGGTCCTCACCGGGGTAAAGAGTGTAACGAACAAGGAAATGAATCGCTCACTCTCGACCAGTGGGGTCAGGACAATTTGATGCGAAAAATGTGCATGGTTATTCTCTCAATCCCTAACGTCTCTTCATCATGACGGCAGCCTCTAAATGTTAGAGTTCACATAAGGGATGTCACCACTAACTAATCCGGATGTCTTAGATAGAGGTTCAGATGACTGGCTAGGGTCTTGGACATGGGGAAAAGGCCTTATAGGTGGAAGTATTCATAGCTCAAAGTTCCACAATTCCAAACCCAACACATTCACAACCAATCAAACCACTTACTTTCTTTCTGCCATTCTGCATTACTCAAATTCTTTAGAGCACAAGAGTGAAGGAGGTCACAATAATGTTAGTATTTCTAAGTCAGACTACTATGAAACACTACTTAATGAGCATGATTCAGATTTTTGGTAGTGGCTCTCTTTTGCTTTCATTCATTTTTTTCTCTTTTTTTTTCATTTCTTGATAGAGCCATCACCTCTGCACATTTTTCAAACACATGCCTAACTTTTAAGAACTACCTCCAACCCTCACATTATTTTTGGCAGAAACAGCAGAGAACATGCAAAAACCACTCTGTGGAACCTTCTAAGAGATGCAAACGGGTGATTTTCCATTGTAGACCGAAAGAAAGGAAATTACACGGCTCAAAGGGGCTGACTAGGGGTTATGACACACCAGGGCAGTCAATTTGGTCGTGGGCTATTCCTATGCCTCCATCAGCTTAGCTAATGACAACGTGAATGCTACACATCATGGAAGAGGGATCTATCGCACAAGAAAGAAATGAGCATGCTCAAATCTCACATGACGACCTCTATGCTCTATCTCTCATTCTGATTCCCTGAACTAGATGCATAAACGACTGTCAAGAACAAGTGATCGATCCAAGTCACAGTTGGTAAGCAAAATTAAAAAACTGAACCCCTACACAACTCTACTACACGTCTCAGACATCATTATAGGTTGTCCTAGTCACAATCCAGTTGTCATGCATCAATTCGAAAGCCCTCAAATCTCGAGATTCGGACAACGGACTAGGCTCCAAGCACACAAACTCATCTAGCACTCAACAATAGATAAACACCCCCCCCCCACACACACACACTTAAGCACGACATTGCCATCAATGGAGCAGAAGGAAGGATAAGGGGAAACAATGTTACCGGGAATATCAGGAATACAGACTATCGGGGGACTGGAAATCGGACCAGTTAGCAGGGCTAGATTCATCAAAACACAGTGGGTGATAGAAACCATAGTTCCAAGTGGACAAACCAAAAACAAACGAAAGGAAAACAAACCTTGGTGGGGTTGCCTTCCCACAAGCGCTTCTTTATCGTCTTTTAGCTGGACGTCAGTAGGGTGGATGCTTAGAGAGGTGTAGAACAGGTGCATTCAAGAGCAGTTCCACATCGCTCTTGAGGTATAACTTCAGATGGTGGCCATGCACACGACGGGTGTGACCACCAACACTCGTCATCTCGATCTAGTCATCCGGCAAGATGCAAGCGAGTGAATACTCGGATGGTCAAGGCGGTCGAGGCTCAGGAGCCGGGACCAGCTCATAGTGGTCTCCCACTTCCTTTTCAACAGGCTTAGCTACCTGCAGTTTCGGCCGCCACTCCTCCTTGATCTTTTCTTTTGGTAACGGGGTGGATGGGAGGGGCGGAGAAGATATGGAAGGTGAGTCCCACAAAACGAGAGGCATAGGGGATACACGACATACACGTGCTCCTGGTGAGAAACAACATTCAAAGGCGATGAAGCAGGGAGAGTATTAGCAATGGAAAATGTTATCTGCTCCTCGCCATCTCTCAAGACTAAGGTTCAATCATGTACATCTATGAGAGCCTTGGCGGTGGCCAGGATAGGTCTTCCTAGTATAAGGACACTTCTGCGTCTTCATTGATGTCCAAGACAACAAAATCCACAGGATAAAAGAATCTGCCAACCTTAACCAGAAGGTCTTTCACTATGCCCCTAGGATGGACTACAGATCGGTCGGCTAATTGAATACTCATCCTCGTTGCACTGGGTTCACCTAGGCCTAGTCTCTTGAACAATTTATATGGTATCGCATTAATACTAGCACCTAGATC